GAGCAATTCTTCAAGCTTGTTTGTGCTTAATGTTTCGTAATAAGTGGATTAACATTTAGATCTAGGCAAGATTGAGCTCCAGGAGCTCAGATCTGTTAGCTTTATGGCCCCATGTGGCTTGTTCATCCTAGATCTACCCTTTTGAGGCATTTTGCACCCTAAAATCCACATTAGTGAATATCCACACGTAAAGTTGGAAACTTTACGTGTGATTTGTGTCCTAGAAGTCCAGATCTATGAATGGCATGGACTGAAATCGAGTAAATCGGTGTATTTGGTGGATGCATGGCGACGACTCGGCGAGTCGTATTGGCGACTCGGCGAGTCTGGTCGCGAGTCACTGATTTGGTCCCTTCATGATGTATCGAGTTGATCCGTGAGTCACAGGGGGTGACTCGGTGAGTTGGGAGCTGAACTCACCCATGTTAGGACTCGGCGAGTCAATGCCCTGACTCGGCGAGTCCAAGGCAATCTTCATAGATTAAGAACAGACTCGGCGAGTTGTTCATACAACTCGGCGAGTCTTAGCATAAAGTGTTCTTCGGACGAAGATGAACTCGACGAGTTGTTCATACAACTCGGCGAGTAGGATGAAGGAGTTGAATGACAGTTAGAAGATGAACTCGTCGAGTCATAGCCCAACTCGACGAGTAGAACCAGGGACCCAGGACAATAGTTTGCTAGGGACTCGGCGAGTGGAGATCCACTTGGCGAGTCGGGTCAACTGAAAGTTGACTCTAGCATTGGCTTAGAGCTAAACCGGGGGTAAAATGGTCATTTTACCTAAAGGACAGTTAGCAGTGTTTGATCGAGTATGTTGTGGGAATTGCATCCGGAGGACTCCCGGAGCAGCAGCAGTCAGTTAGTTCCCGATCAGTTCAGCAGCTACTTTGAGGTGAGTTACCTTCCAGTAGCGGTGGGTCTAAGGCCACAATGCCGGCCCACCAGTAGGAGACGTATGATAGATGATTGTCTTTGTGAAATCATCTAGGTTTGCTATTACCTGTTATGTTATATGCTATCATGATACGTTATATGCAATAGTAGTAGAGTTCGGTTGTTAGGACCGCTGGGTAGTCAGACACCCAAGGATTATCTGACTGTATGTGATGGTATGCTTGTATGTTGGTCTGTTATGTTATGCGATAGAGGTAGCGGAAGGGGACCAGTCCCCGAGGATCGGTTGTTAGGACCGATGGGTAGTCAGCACCCCAGAATGGCTTGACATGGGTAGTCAGCACCCCAGAATGGCTTGACACGGGTAAGACGGCACCCCAGAATGGCCGTATGGGTAGGTCGGCACCCCAGAATGGCCGTACCGGGTAGTCAGGCACCCCAGAATAGCCTGGCAGTACGTATGTTATGTGTTTGTATGGTATGTGGTACGTTGGGGGAACTCACTAAGCTTTGTGCTTACGTTTACAGTTTTGTTTTCAGGTACCTCTGCACTGAAGGGGAAGGAGCCGACGCGGTAGCGACACGTCATACACACACTCTTCGGTTTCCGCATTTACGAGATTTACTGGGATTGTACTCTGATATTTTGATGGGATGTATGGTTTGACCTTTTAGAACATGGTTGCGATGTGTTATGGTGTGATCAAACAATGTTTTATTTATTAATGTTTTCTAATGTAATATCTTAAAATGAAATTTTCGGACGTAAAAATTGGTTCGTTACAATTAAATTAAACAAAAATCGATAATAAAAGTGGTTTCAGCTATGCACGACTTTAATAATCATGTAACTAACCCAGATCGGATTATTCAGAATGCGTTCTATCTAAGCTGATACTGAGAAAAACTAACAAGCTCTAGTAATTTCTCTTTTACATAAATTAGTTAATCAAAACAAAATCTTCAATTAACCCTAACTTTTTATTGTCTAATCAAACAAGCTCTTAATTAAAGATAAAAAAAAAGTTTCATTAAGATCTATGTAAAATTCCTAGAAATATTCAATACTTCTCACAAGCTCGGAAACATAAATGTATGATTTTTCAGTTTATAATAAAGTCAAATCCCAAACACGAAACCTATTTATTACTTGTTACTTATTACCAATTGACAAGAATAATTACATATTCTATTAATTGATTTACTTGAATGATAAACCCTAGCTAGGTGATCAGACTAACAAGAATCAAAATCAAACATTTATTAAGAACAAAACCGAAGAATCTAGATAGAAACACAAAACGAAAATCAGATCTAATGATCAATCACATGAAAAGTACTTGTCTTTGCAGAACTGAAAACTAAGGTTTAGCCTGACATGGCTAAAATCTGATAAAAACAGATGAAAAGAGACATCAAACAACTAATCTTACTAATCTACATGAAGGAGATGATCCACAGTCTTCAGATCTTCAGAAGTCGTTGAAATCGGAGAAGAAACACCTCTAAAATTGTATTTTCATCGTCTGGTACCTCTGTAATCGCCAAATTAGGTTACTGGGATGCTATCAGGGTCTATTTATACGTCCAATAGTAAACAATGATGCGCATGCGATCGCATGTAGACAAACTGCGATCACATGTTTTGAAGAAAACGCGCCTCGAGCCTTTTTTAATGAAGTAGGATGCTATTTTGGCATTTTTTGGAAAACATGTGATTGCATACAGGGAGCCTGCGATTGCATGTTTTGAGTTTTCACTCCCGGATGAATTTTTGGCACAAAAAAAACATCGAAGACAAGTTGCGACCTAACCTTCGATCTCATAAAGGCCCCATGCGATCGCATGGACCATATTTGCGATCGCATGTTTTACCTATGATAACCGAAATTTCGTCTACTTTTCAGATCATTTTGAATCACATTAATCGGAGTTACGGTTTATGAGATAGGGTCAAAATACTGACAGGGGGTCAAAGCTGTCAGCAACATCTTTTAACTTTAGATTGCAGATTCTATCTTCGTGTGATCAATTCGATAGAATGTTTCTTGACCAAAGCATCTTGCAAGCATTCCTCAACATACTCCATAAGTTCCAAGATCCATTTTAAGCTCCAAACGCGCATCCGATTGCTCCCAAAGCACTGCTCCATTCAAACTATCTGAAATTGACATAAAAACATAAGTAGTACGAGAATTCTAATAGAATACGTGAGCTGAACATTATTTAAATAAATGACATGAAAATATACAAAATATGATGCTAAAATGAGAATAAAACTACACTAAAAGATGCTTAAAATGGTATCTAATAGATTCTCCTTTGAATCCTTGGTATCCAATCAAAGTGGCAAGAATAAGATCGCAAGTAATGAGATCTTTGGGAAATAAAGATGTATGTAATATTAACTTTGTTGTAGTTGCAATAATAGTATGACATAAGATCCTTGTAGGTTTAGTTTGAACATCTCACTAGAAAATTATAATATGCTTCTGTTACCATATGTTGTGTGTTAGTATGCTCAAAACCTTATAGTGATATTAAAGCCTTAGTTCATAGTTATTTTCACTATTATATCAAATTTAATTTGTGTATAATCATGATTACATATTGGGGTTTAAGGTGCAGAATTTTAATTTTCTGTTTTCCTATGGCCATTTTCTAATATCATATGCCCTAAATTACGGTTTAATGGACATGACCTTAAACCCAAATTGATAACAAAAAAAAAAAAGAACTTGGAGCATCTTTGGGCGCGACGCACCTCCCTTGGGGTACGACACATTCCGTCTGATTAGGCTACCTTTGTAACCCTAACAAGTTTCTTAACTTGTTTTGCAAGAAACACAAATGTGGAGATTTTTCAAATATTGAATATACATCTTTTTTTTTTAATATTAGTTATGATATTGATTACAAATTTGAATATTAGTTTATATTAATTATTAACATTGTGTCCTCACATGTTTAATTTGAATTAATAAACACATAAAATTAAAATGGTTTTAGTTTTACTTATTCTTCGTACCGATCATCTTATCACTTTTTGATGATGATGAGTGTAACAAAAATTTATCAATTTTATTAAATATGATAAATGTTACAATCTTAAGTGTGTAGGAAGATAGTAAGAGAAAGAAAAGTAAGAGGATTTCTCTCTCTCTCTCTCTCTCTCTCTATATATATATATATATATATATATATATATATATATATATATATATATATATATATATATATATGTATCTCTGTCTCTCTATGTGTGTCTGCATGTGTGTGTGTATATATATATATATATATATATATATATATATATATATATATATATATATATATATATATATATATATATATATAGGGTTAGGGTCAAATGTGGATGAACACTTATTGTGCGGACATGTGGACAGTGTTATTCTGTGAGAATGATGAAGAAAATATGTTGTTTGGTAATGCGAATATGTGCAACCTTACATAACTAATTTAATTATCATGCATTCTCACTAATTAAATAATATGTAAGGTTGTTATAAACTTTTTTATGATTTTCATTTTGCCAGAATGTTGTCAGAATGTATTATTGAAAATCGTATTCTGTAAAAGTGAAAATGAGTGAAAAATGATACGTGAAAACAAAAATGAGTAAGAATTAGTGAGAATACATGATAATGACAATAGTTTTGCGACGTTGAATGTATTCACATTACCAAACACTTTGTTCACTTAGTTATTCTCATATAATAGAATTGTTCACACACGTCTGCAAAATAATTATCATCCACAGTTTAACCTAGCTCTCACTCACTCTCTCTCTCTCTCTCTCTCTCTCTCTATATATATATATATATATATATATATATATATATATATATATATATATAAGGCTAGGTTCATGTGTTCCTTACATCTATTGTGTGCCCGTATATATATATATATATATATATATATATATATATATATATATATATATATATATATATATATATATTATATATATAAGGCTAGGTTCATGAGTTCCTTACATCTATTGTGTGCGCGTAAGGACAATTCTACATTAACAGATGAATAGAATCAAGGGTCATAATATGATGGTCTA